ATCAATTAATATGAGGCAAGGATGGAGTATAAATAGCCTCGGGAAATCACGAAAGTGTGCGGAAATCAGATGAGTGACGGTTGATGATGCCTACTTTTCATACTTGCAGTGGTCCTGCATGTAGACTAGATATCTACTTTTGGATACGTGATCTTCTTATCCAATTGGATATAGCCACGTGCTATATTGCAAGAAAAGGTATTGTTTGTTGGTATATATGTGAGGAGACAACTACTTTTTACAACCAAAGACAGCTACTACTAGTATTTAGTATTTACTAATCTTGGGTTCTAAACTGGGAAATAGATAAGCTTTTGTCATAGGAGGAGTATTAATAATTATTTAACATAATTAGAGAAAACCATTTGGTATATCACAAAAATGTGCAAATACGTTAATGATTAAAACTATTTACTCACATATACATACTAAAAGTAATTTTGTGATAAATGTATTTTGTATTATTTTTATATTATATTGTATAATTTTTTGATAAATGATATCCATTTGACCACTAGGAGCAAAATACTTGTATCAATAAAGTTTACTATTCATTTCCAAAAGATCAAAAAATGAAGAGAAAGTACTACTACTAAGGTAACTGATTAGCTAACTCTATTTTGGAAAGCGACTAGTCAATATAATTGAGGAATCAAATGATTTTCTGCTGCTTTTTTTCACATTACATTGAATTGGCAAGTAAGAAAAAGCAGGACATCGTGTTTTCTTCATCAAATTAACTCCCTACATACATAGCCTGCGACTATAAAGGCTATCAATCAATTGAAACAGGGAAATGGAGTTGGTTGGCCTCCCTGAAAACTAAAGTTAATATCTTAAAATATCATTGAACTTTGAGAAATTATCCTGAAAAGTTATTAAACTTTGTTTTGTATTAAAAAAATCACTTAGCTTAAAACTTTTATCCTCAAAAATCACTCAATCACATTTATCATTAAATTAAATTTAACATAATAAAATAAAATAAAACTTATGCCATTATAATCATGGACCCATAAATAAAATTATAATCTATTTATTACCCAACGATCCACCCAAACAATAGTTTCATCTAAAGATTAATACTGTATTATAAAAGCTATTTCAATCCATGTGTTTGCAATTCTTAGTAGAAAACTCTACACAAACAAGGTGATAATAACATTATGAACTATCGATCTGCTCAATAGGTTAAAGCATAAACATGCAGAACATTATTCTAGGAAATTACAAAAAGATCGACCTTGAACTGCAACTGCAATTTCTAATCGACTGCGTTCTTTAACATCATTATTTGCTAGTAATTACGTTAATATTGCAGAAATAATTTAGTAGAAAGTACTAATTGATCTAAGGGGAAGTGCTAAATGAACAGAAAATTAAAAAAACTATAATATTTTTTTTATTTTAAAACAAATTGATTTTTTTTTTTTCATTTTTTAGTTAAAAGGTATTAAAGTTTGAAGGGTAAAAATATTTTAAAATATAAAATAACATAGACAAAATATCATTCTGGCCAAATTCTGGCTAAAAAGATTTTTCCTAATCTAAGTAACTTAATAGATTTTATAATTTTATTCAGTTGTGGGGTTCATAGTTACATGACATTAAAAAAAAAAAATTTTTTTGCTATATCAAATTTGTTTTAAGATAAATGAGTTGAGTGATTTTTGAAGACAAAAACTTGAAGTTGAGTGATTTTATTGGAGTAAATGACATAAATAGTCCCTCAACTATAGGAGTAGGTCTAAAATGGTCCCTGAACTATACACTTAACGGATTTAGTCTTTTAACTATTCAAAAAATTGTCAACTTTGGTCCCTTAACTATACACTTACCGGTTTTAGTCTTTTAACTATTCAAAAAATTGTCAACTTTGGTCCCTTAACTATACACTTACCGGTTTTAGTCTTTTAACTATTCAAAAAATTGTCAACTTTGGTCCCTTAACTATACACTTACCGGTTTTAGTCTTTTAACTATTCAAAAAATTGTCAACTTTGGTCCCTTAACTATACACTTACCGGTTTTAGTCTTTTAACTATTCAAAAAATTGTCAACTTTGGTCCCTTAACTATATACTTACCGGTTTTAGTCCCTTAACTATAAATTTACCGATTTTAGTCCTTTAAGTATTCACAAACTTATCAAGTTTGGTCTTTGTCCATTTTTTTAAATACAAATAGCTTTGGTTTTTATTATGTACCATCCTAAACTTTGATTGTTTTTGTTCGAGAAACTCATCATGCATCATGCTAATCAATGTGAATTTAATTTAATTTACTCAAATTTCTTTACGTAAAATAAAATGAATAGAATAATAAAATTGATATATTTAATAAAAAGTTTAAAAAATTGCAAATCTACCATTTTATAAATTACCATTTCTGAAAAATTAAACAAATTCCGTTCAATGAAATCATTGGAGTACAAACTTTGGATTTTAACGGATAATAATTTTTTTCTTTTATAATAAAGTTTAACATATTCAAGTCATTAGTAACAATAATATGCTTCATTTTATCCGCTATTGATAAAATTATGACTTATATTTCTTTCCTCGTGAATTTTATTTTAAAATCGTTTGAGGTTTAAGGTCTTTCGCGTTAAGGTTAATTTGAAGAAAAAGTAACGGAGAGAGAACCAACAGAAAAAATTGCTAAAGGATTTAATTTCTCGAGGCATAGATTTTGTTAATATAAACCTAAGCTATTTGTATTTTAAAAAAATGGACAAAGACCAAACTTGATAAGTTTTTGAATACTTAAAGGATTAAAATCGGTAAGTTTATAGTTAAGGGACTAAAATTGATAAGTGTATAGTTAAAAGACCAAAACTGACAAGTTTTTGAATAGTTAAAGGACTAAATCCGTTAAGTGTATAGTTCAGGGACCATTTTAGACCTACTCCTATAGTTGAGGGACTATTTATGTCATTTTCTCGATTTTATTGATACAAAACAAAGTTCAATGACTTTATTAGATAATTTCTCATAGTTTAGTGACCTTTTAAGATATTATGAAAACTATGGTTATTAATGTTGATTGTTGCCTTTCTCTTGCTTCAAAACCACCAAATGATGGGGTGTAGCTAGACTTCTTCTTTCTTAATCAGAAGTTTTGAGTTTAAGTTTTGGATATAATTTTTTTTTAATAGGGAATGTTCTCTCGAATATGGCTCAATTCAGACGAGAAACAAAAAAAAAACTAATTAGGAGCCGTTTGTCTATGAATTTTTTGAAACATTGCCCAACTTATTGATTTTATTTTAAAAATAATTAGTTTAAAATTTGAAAAAAAAGTGAAAATTAAATTCCACTTACATTTTCTTAAATTTACTTTAAGTTAAATATATGTCCAAACAAAATTTCAATTTGCACATTCAAACTTTTCCCCTTAACTTCAAATAGGAGTTCTACTTTTTTTTTGAATATTACATATTTTATGTCCCAATTTTAATCAATTTTAAAATTTATCATAGTTGCTTCAATAAATGATCTAAAAATTTACAAGAAATTTATGGTAACTTTACGATATTAAAAAATATATCTAAAACCTTATACATACACTCTGGTCTTAATGTGCCACTTTTTTTTTTTATGGAGAGTCAATTTTTTAAAATTAAATTAGATTAAATCAACTTCATATATTTTAAAATCATAAGTTGGTACAGTAGTTATTTCGGACCAGAAGTGGTAAGACCATCTCCAATCCAACACCAAATTCATATTTGGTGTAAAATTTGGTGTTGTTGAGCTTCAACCCACACCAATTTTTACACCAAATTTGGTATGTGAATAGTGTTACACCAAATTCATCACACCAATTCACTTTTTGAATATTTTAATATTATTTCATTACACAAACTTTTAATTAAACATTATATAAATTGTATATTTTAATTAAATTTCTTGTATGTTTAATTATTTTTATGTAATATTTTTATAATATTAATTTTAGATATAAAATTTAGCTTTTTTATAAATTAATTTTTCTATATATGACTTTTAAAAAAAATTAAATTTATGTTAATTCTACTATAAATTATAATTGGATATAACTACAATTAACCTTCACAAAAATAAAAAATGCAAACATATAAATTTTTAAACAAATAATACAATGTACTTAAAAATAACCGAAAATAATAAACATTAGACAAAGTAGTAATTGACATTCACCATGAATTATATATAGTGAATGTTTTAGAAGAATTTGTTTTATGAAATAAGAAAATATAAATGAAATAAAAAATAATAATATAATAATGAAAGAAAGAGAAAAATATTTCTTTTTGATGTAAAATTTGATGCATTGAGTTAGAGTTGATTACACCAAAAATATTGCTGCATCAAATTTGGTGTAAAATTTAGTATTTGTGCTGGAGATGTCCAAGCAGCAACCGTGGAGTAAAAATACTTTAGAGAGAAGTAAAAAAGAGAGCAGAAATGGAAGAGTGTTCGATAAAAGTGGAATGTATATACTCTCTCTGGAACTGAGCTAGTTGAAGAGCATGTCCACAATTGTGCCAGAAAGTTGGCTTCACCTGACACCGTCACGATGTGTGCTTAATTTGATTGGACAAAAATATTTTTGAATATTGTGATTTTAATTAAAAATTGTGAAATCTTTTGGATCTTAAATTGGTACAACGGAAGTAACAATTTTCCTATCAACCCTGTCAATTTCTTTCTTTTAGTTTTAGCAGTTTACCAACTTTCGTAATGTATCAGTACTCAGAACCAAAAGAAGACCAGTCAAAGTCTAATCAACTTGCTAGTTCACCCCTACTCTGTTTGTTTTTCTGTAATTGGAGTAATTTATTAGGTGTATATGACAAGTATATACGTTAATTCAATTGGTTTATTCACTTTAATGCGAATCCGCCCACTCTGGTCTATGTCTGTCTCTACTTTTAAGTTACCTAAAGCATGGTATGGTTGGCTAATAAATACACGCTCGTTCGGGGCATATACCCAAAAAATGTCACCTACTCCTAGATTAGATATAAAAGAGTGTGCAAGTGAGTTTTGTACATACTAGAAATTCTCTTGTTCTGCTCAATTCTGAACTTGATCTTGCTGTGATAAAAAAAATAAAAATCTGCATATCTATACTATTATGGCGAACAACAATGTTTATCATAACAGTGCTAATATTGCTTCTTTTTCTTTGACTGATCCTGACCCTGACCCTGACCCTGAACCGGATGATATTTCTGTGTTTCTTCGTCATATTCTCCTTCCTTCTTCGTCTTCGTCTTCATCCAATTTAATGGCCCTGAAGGGTAATGAAATGCAATATTCCTCACCATCACCTCATCTTATGCCTAACAATAATCAACAGGGCGATTTGTCATCCATGATGAATTCATCAGCTGGCGGCATTTTCTCTTCTTCATATGGGGCTTATAATGGTGCAACTAATGTTTCTTCGTCATCTGTTGGGACCATGGATAACGATCCGGATGAGTATGAATGTGAAAGTGAGGTATTTCTACATTTCCTACTTAATTCGTTTAGATTAATTAGTTTATGTAAGTTTTTATTTCCGAATTTGATGTTTATTTTATCATTGTCCTGGTATATTTCTTTTTCTTTCTGATGTATAGTAGTTATTTTTTAATATGCAGGATGGTACAGAGGATTTGGGGGCGGAAGCTTCAGTTCAACCGCCATCTCGTAACACTTCCAAGAGAAGTAGAGCAGCTGAAGTGCACAATTTATCTGAAAAGGTTGTTTATTTTTTGTTAATTGAGTTTTGTTTGTGATTATTGTTGTCTGAACCCATGATTTCAGGAGTACAATAAATTCTTTGCTAAGGGTCTTAGAGTTGAACTCGCTAAGTTTAAATCTTGAATATGATTCACAGAGGAGAAGAAGCAGGATTAATGAGAAAATGAAAGCATTGCAAAAACTTATTCCAAATTCAAATAAGGTGAGGAGTTGCATGTTTAGCAATTAATGAGTCTTGAAATTAGTAAAAAGAACATAAGTTGTAGCTTATCATGAATATACAGTTAAAGATTTTGATTTAATTATTTTCTGATGGATTTCTGGACAGACTGACAAGGCTTCAATGCTAGATGAAGCCATTGAGTATCTTAAGCAGCTTCAGCTCCAAGTACAGGTTTGCTGCTTCTGTTTTAATTTGCTGCATGTGATTTATTTGGTATGATGGGGAGTTATTTTCTGTGAAATATATTTTTAGAGAATAACAAATAATTAGCAAATTGGATAGAATATTGTGTTGATTGCCGAAGATTAGTGAAATTTAAAGTTCAGATAGTTGCAAAAAACATGGTAGTGTTATTTGACTCAATTCAGGATATTTCCTAGATTGGTTCTAGATCTGGTTATCTGTTCATTAAACACTAGTTAAATCGATTAAGTTATATGATTTATAGCATAACAATGTACTTTAATATCTTTAGATGTTGACAATGAGAAACGGGTTAAACATGTATCCTCTTGGCCTGCCACGAATGCTACAACAAAATCAACTATCCCAGCAAAAAATAGGTTTGTGCGAGGGGAATGGATTCACAAATGCTAAAGTGGCTGGGAATCTCCAAGTTAACCAAGACGCCTCGTTAAGTGCCATTTTCAATCCAACTGAAAATTGTACAGAAACTAAGCTAACACCACTGGTAACTATGTCAAATGTTAACCATTCAGACGGTGCTTTTGAGCCAGAGTCATCGATGAATACTCACCTTGATCCCTTTCAGCTCTCAAGATCTACCAGTAAGGTATGTTGGATACCTAACCTATCGGAATGCCCTTGTTTATGAGGATGCAGAATTGCAGATTAAGGAATCAATTTATATAACCATCTGACATTCACATTCTGTTTGTAAAGGAAATTTGGAGGGAGGATGGCTTACCTATGTATGGAATGAATGAGCGAACAACCAAAACTGCATCAGTTGGTAGATTATTTGCTTGACATTCTTGCCTTATTGACAATTTTTGCCTTGTATCCAGGTCTCCTTACTATTTTCTATTTCATTGTATCATAGGAGCAAATGTGGCATTCTCAGTTCCCATTGATACCGATGCATCTAACCTGAAGAGAAACACTCGGGAAGCCTGCTTGCTTCGATATCAGTTTGGTGCTATGAATGAAACCAATCTGGATTACACCCGTGCTCTTCCATAGCAGTGATTTTTTTTTTTTTTATCTTTATTCCTGAATTTCCTTGTTCTATTGTTAGTCACACTTCGGAAGAAGTTCTTAAGTTGACATTATCTAAGGTGAATGCAGCAACTTCTGAAATTTTGGACTTCATCGCCCTGCTGGATTTTGTCGAAGTTATGAGACATGCATCTTGCTGCTTAGGATGTTTAATGTTGTTAACTTTTGTGCTCAAAAGCCACTGTTTTGAATGAATCACATCTGCATTGCTTCTGCGGAGAAGTTGGAATATAAATCTTGTTATGAAATAAGAAAATTACTACTAGGCGTAGAATATGTTTCGTGATGACTATTTTCTCATATGCGTCTGACTAATCTGAGGATGGTACGATTCTACCATAGACGAATTCAAGATTTGAATTTTATGGATTTTAACAGAAACCTCAAATTAATATCTCTATAACAATTAGGACACACGTTCAAATATTTATACATATATGGCAGATTTTTAAATATATATAATATATATTTAAAAATTCTTCACTCAAATGAATATGCGGATGTATTCACCTTAATTTTCACGTTGTTTGTCTTTTTTTATTTGGCGTGTATATAATGAACAGTGAAACCAAGTATATGCCAAGCATCGCCAGATTATCTAGATAACCTTTGGCCATAAATTTCGGATATTTACAAGTTTCCTAAAGCCGGTTTGAAGCCAGTTTTGGGGTTTTGAGACTCACTCACAAAACTTCAAAAAAATTCCAAGTAAAATGCATGTCCAATTCAATTATTACCTTACTAATGCTTGTTAATAAAAAAAAAAGTTAAAGAACCAAAATTCTATTCTTATTCTGTAAAGAATGGACTGCAAGTGGGAACTTGGATAGGAAGAAAACTGTAGTTGATTGATTTGAAATAGGAAGAAAAATTCTCGTCTAATCACTTAATTTGAATCACAAAGAATAGGAAATATACTTTGAACGTGCCAATTGGGAAGTGAGAGATACGTCTCCAGACAATTTAATTTTAACTTTCTTAATAGAACTCTACCAAAAAAAAATTATTTATAGAAAATATATCATGTACAAACACAACCTAAGTAAGAAATATAAAAATAGCAAATGCGTAAACCATTTGACTTACTTTTCATCGATTATTATTAAAAATACGTATTTAAATTAAATTTGTCTCATTTCATTTCCCTATTATATTTGGACGCATGGAAAATCCTTATTGGCTTTAATGTTGACACTAGCCAAGGGAATAGACAAAAATAAAAAGAAACTAAAGTAGTGGCCTTGATGTATTGCAACTTTGTAATTGGAATAATAATGCCCACAAGTCCCCTATTCCTTTTTTGTGATGACTGAAAAAAAAAATAGGGCATTTATTAGTCTATATTATGCAAAAGAAAATTAGTTTCCTTTTTTCCTAAAAAGACCTCTTTATGATAATAGGGGACAAGAAAAGAAACAATGAAAATTCTATACATGGTGCAAGAGATTTGTATGACTAAATTATAATCTTTATAATAAGAATAATAGTTACTCATTATAATTTCAAATTAATTTAAAGTAAGTTATATGAATTCTAACCAGTTATGTCGATGCATTAAACTTATTCTATAATGATCAATATAGTTTTATCTAACAAAAATATTGCATGTATAGATTTTCTTTCAATAATATCATATTTTTTGCTAAGTATATAAGTGTTTTAAAGAATTAAAGTTTTGTGAGTGAAAGTGAAAGATGTAAATAAAATCTGATCAACTTTCATAATTAATTAGATATTCAAACATAAAATTATAAAATCTTATCCGAAATCTATAACCAAACACTAGCTAAATAAAATAGAGAAAGAAATTTTAATAACTAAATTAATTGATCAGCTGAATTCTCATTTTATTAATGAAAGTTAAATTCTCCACCGTGCCCTTTTTTCCTTCCCTTGGCTTGCCCCATTTTTGGGGAAAAAATAAAGTGGAGGACCAACTTGTTGTGTGGACTTCACAGTCCAATTCTTTGACAAAAAGTAAAAAAAGACTTTGCCAGTCCAAGTAACCCAACCCAAACATCAATCCAAGCCGCCAGGCGTTAAGTGGAGTGCGCCTTTCCAGTATTCTCTAAAGTTAAAAAGGCAAAAGCAAAGAATGAAGCTTTAATAAGTCCGATCTAATCCTTGGCGCTCTATATATTCATTCGTCTTTTCTCAACTTTGTTTGTAACGGTCTAAACAAATTCTCTCTGTTCTGTAAAACCGAATTTCAATTCCGCTAACCCTAGGATTTTCGCAGAGGAGGATAATTATGGCTGAAACTACACCTAATGGCCGGCCCGAGAGTGCCAATATTGATGGACCGACCAATCCTATGGTTACGCCTATTTTAACAGATCTCTATCAGTTTACTATGGCCTATGCTTACTGGAAAGCTGGAAAACACAATGAACGAGCTGTGTTAGTATTCAATTTCGAATTTAATTCCTCTTCATTTTCGATAAAGTTTCATTTATATTATTCGTTTGATGTTCTGAATTCTGATGTGATTGATCATTTACTTTATGGTCAAAGTTGATGTTTCATTGAAGAACTTTGATAATTTTAGCTGTTTGCTGAGCAAGCGGATTAATCTGATTGTTTTAAGTATTTGGTTGTATTTTCAGGTTTGACTTGTATTTTCGGAGGAATCCATTTGGTGGTGAATATACAATATTTGCTGGTTTAGAAGAGTGCATAAAGTTTATTGCCAACTTTAAATTTACTGAGGATGAGATAGATTTTATCAGGTCATCGTTGCCCTCGTCATGTGAGGTAAAGTTGTTATTAACAAGCAAATATGGAGACATAATGATGAAATCAAGATAGCAAGATTGATATCAAGAATAGTCTCTTCTAATGAATCTTCCATCATACTTTGAGCCCTTTGTGGGTGATTGGGAACTTTCATATCCAAGATGGCCCACAACCCCATTCTTGATATCAATCTTGCTATCTTGATTTGCATCACATAATGTGGGATTAAGTTAACTTTTTGTGCTGATATATTGAATTCTGCTATCTGAATTAAGCTATCATGTGGTCATATGTTTATCCTTTTCTATTATCCTCTGTTTTTGGATTTTTCTAAGGCTATTATTCAAATCGTCTGTAAAATTTGGGAACAAATGCTTTCTTGATGCGTTTATCTTCCATTGGCAAATATGGTCATAAACAATTAATGCAACTGTACTTTTTCTTTGGGAATTCCTACAGATGTCATGAACACGTCATCCCAGTATGTTTGAGATAATCAAGCTGTGACTGATGCTCCATTTGGTCATGCTTTATACTACTTCATCGTTCCATCTTGTTTATTCACTTCTTGTTTGGCACAATTTTAAAACAGAATATTAGTATGCGCTGTTCAATATTTGTTTAGGAGCATGTGGGCCCATAGTTTGGCTTTTGTGTTGAAGACAAATAGATTAAAAGATGAAGTTCGATTGGGAAGTGTAAAAGTAATTCTTTAACGAAACTATTGTGGTATTTAAAATGTATTAGCACTTCCGACTTATTAAAATTGATTGGGAAATCTAAAAGGAAAAGTATGTGGGCGAATGGAGTGCTTCTTCAGGGAATATGTTTCTGTATACTTTAAAGAATTTTTTGCAGTGCTGAGAATTGTGAGTGCTTGACCATAAGCATATTTAAATGGATTATGTAGGATGGCTTCTTTGAGTACCTTCGAAGACTTGACTGTTCAGATATTGAGATATATTCTATTTCTGAAGGATCAGTAGTTTTTCCCAAGGTACCGCTGATGAGGATTGAAGGACCAGTTGCTGTGAGTCGCATTAACACTATCCTTTATTAGTGCTTTCTTTCGAAGCATCTCAACAGGGTTGTCTGTTGGATCTTCTCATGTACATCTTTAATAAGCTTAATGATTGCTTGTATCTCAAAGGTGGTTCAACTACTGGAAACACCATTTGTAAACCTCATAAATTATGCATCACTAGTTACTACTAATGCTGCAAGACACCGTTTCGTTGCTGGAAGGTCCAAAATATTGCTTGAATTTGGGCTTAGGAGAGCACAGGTTGTTTATCTTTCCTATTGTCATCTTTAAATTCTATATGATGTACAAACTGTGAACAAACTTTTGTACCTTCATGAGTAGGGTCCTGATGGTGGTATATCAGCATCCAAGTATTGCTACATGGGTGGATTTGATGCGACAAGGTGATTTCGTGTTTGTTTCACCGTGTCTTTATGAAATGCATCATCTACTTATCTTATTCATAGCGATGTGGATTTCTAAGTTCATCATATTTTATTATAAAATTTAGAGACTCAAGAACTAGTAGTAAACACACAAATTCTTCTACTGTGTTTGGATTAATTTTGATTTTGAAGAACTCTCAAGTGTGCAGTCCATCAACCACTTTACTTTCTGTGAAGCAAGGTCCTTTAGATTCAATTTTCTTTCAATATTTAAAAGAATATTTTGTGAACTCTTCCAAAAATGAAGCAGGTCATATTAGGAAGGATCACTGCAATTGTGAGTTACATGTTGTTTGATTCTTATTCAAGGAACAAGATCATGCAGGTGAAAAGAAAGTATTTTTTCTTTTTCCAATGATCTAACTAGAAAATCAATCATTCAAGGAAGAATTTGATCCGTAAGATGGATGGTTAAACTTGATAAAAAACTATGGTGTATTTTTACATTTACATGCTGCTTTACAGATTACTGCAACCTAACGTTTTCTTTTTTGCTGGTTATGTTTTATCATTTTGACAAGGAAATAAAATTTCTTTTTGCAAGTTAGAACGCTGAGACACTATTTTATTCCTGTTGGTGTTTTGTTTCTTTTAATCATAACCAAGACTGGAGGATCACTGTGTTTTTGTGATTTGACAGCAATGTGGCAGCTGGAAAGCTGTTTGGAATCCCACTCCGTGGGACACATTCCCATGCCTTTGTTAGCTCATTTATGGTAGGTGCAACCTTCAAAACAGCTTTGCCTTTCCTTGAACTAAGTGAGATCTGTGAGATATCAAAGTGCTCTGACAGTTTGTTTGGCCCTCTGTATTCAAAATGATAATTTCTTAAAGATCTAGTCTTTAGTCAAAGCATAGTAAGTAACATGTCTTAGGCTAGTAAAATGCTCCGTTCAAATTCCCATTTTAGTCCCTTTTATGGATGTTAGTTTGTATTCAGTTACCAATCTATTGTTATTATTACCATTTTTCATTATTACAGTCGTTTTGAAGGTATAATTACCACATCTATTTTCTTTCTGGCCAATTTAATGTAGACATAATCATT